ACATTTATTTATAGAACAGTGCACATGCCCTACAAAAAGCCAGGGTAAGATACCAAAGCATCCATCCAAACTGGCTGTGCTTCTATTTGTGTAGAGGGCCATCGGTCAAACAATAGTGTTACATACAAGCCTGAAGGGCTTTGCTATTATCTAGGGCTTTTATATCACTAATCATGTCAAAAACAAGACCAGTGTTTATAATAAAGTTAATATAATCAACAAGTGCTAATCTGTGAACAGTACTATTTGATCGATAGGGTGCAGTTTTTATGCAACAGAGTAAGTAATGAGTGAGATTATGTGACTTGGGTGCCTTGCACAGTTTGCAATGGTGATATGAATCAGGTTTTGCATCCAAAACTGCATCCTGTACATATTGTATAGTGTACTGATATCCTATGCTTATCCTAGTTAATGTAACCTGTTGTCTCCGAGACAGTTCGTGATAAACTTTATAGGGTTTGTCTAAATCTAATGCCCCAGCAATACTCTCATAATGCCAGATAGTACCATGTCCGTCTTTTTTCATCTTTTCATTGGTCCATACCTGACCCTCATAATCTCTAAGACAGTTGATAACTCGTTTTTTTTTCGTTTGATTGAAAGATAGCGGTATTACATAACATGGATCTTCATGGGAAAGTGCTAACCTGGCTAATTGATCAGCCCAGTAACATAGTGATATTCCAATATGAGAGGGTATCCAGTATAGAGACACTTGAGTACCCCATTCTGATAGTTTAGAAATTTGGTGAAGGATATTCTTACTACCTTTCTTAATGGCACGATATATAACTACTGACTCGGCATCAATTGTGCTTGTCCAGTTGCAAATGCACACACTTTCTTCAAGATCTATATCAGGAATTAGCACACCGATCCCTGTTGCTCCATGAGGATCAACACAGTAGATTGCAAGTGGGGGCGTGCCATGAGGGGGATGTAGAATGCCATCTATATATTTCAAGTAGTGAGCTTTTAGTTCCGTTTTTGAAGCCATAGATTTAGACCCTATTAGTTTATCAATATGAGCATGTACATGAGTTCAGTGCCAAGGAGCAGTAAGTACTGTATCTGGAATATTGATAGCTTCGTTGTTCCATACATTGAAGAACATGATAGTATGAGCAGTTTTAGTTTTCCATTCTAAGTTGGACTGTATGAGATTGGAGTATTGAGGCCGGGCATGCCTCACTCTATAATTTATCTCATTTGATAGGATATTGGAGATTTGTGGTCTGGGTAGAAGTTGCAGGAGTCTGATGCCAAGTGTGGTGTTAACTTGGATGACACGTCTGTGAATAGAGGGGAGGTCTAAATCTTTCCTCATTACGAGACCTTTAGCAGTCACTGGGCATCCAAGTATAATTCTCATGGCCTTATTCTGTAAAACGTCAAGGGGTTTGAGGGCACTCGGTGGCAGCGTACTAAGAACTGGGCTTGCATAGTCTATCATGGACCTAACAAGGGAGATATACATCAACCTTTGGACTCTCAGGGAGGCACCTACATATCTGTTACTAATGTATTGCAATGGTCTTAAACACTCAAGGCAACGTTCCTTGATATTTCTTGGCAAAGCGTGAGATGTGGGACATGAGGTGGGGAGCAGTCGCCATAACACCAAGATATTTGTAGGTGTCAGTTCTTGCAATAGTTTGTCCACCTAATCTTGTAATGTAAGGTAATTTATGAGATCTGGAAATATGCTTAGTTTTGATTGGGTTGATTATGTGACCAAGGGAGGCATACTTTTTGCTGAAGCTCTGTAGCACATAACCCCCCTATCAAATACCTGAATAAGAATGTCATCAGCATAGGATGTGATGCTGCATAGGTTTCCTAACTCATCGTTGAACTTGTAAAGAGAGTGCATAAGTATATTAAACAATACTCCCCTTTGCGGAGTGCCTAATTCCAATTCGCCTTAAGCACTATAGATGCTTTGATGCCACAGCTTTGTCGAATGCTCCCTTAAAATCTATGAAGTAAGAAGACTGTGCATTATGTCCATTTGGGTACTGCGCTGAACACATTTGTATTCCTCTCCCTTTTTGAAAGCCAAACACAGATGGATGGATCACGTCTTTGAGACAGGCAGGACGTCAGAGACATTGGTCTATATTCATCTGGCCGTCCTGGTTTTGGAATGGGAATGATGGTTGCATGTTTCCCAGTGGTAGGCAAGATGCCTGCCATGTAGGCTAAGTTGAAGAGATCAAGAAGAGGATTTTTCCCTTTACCTGTACTTTTGCAAGAAGTCGGATGATGTCGTAAGTGATTCCATCATCCCCAGGTGCGTGTATTTGCTAGTCTTAATGGCTGGAAGGAGTTCCTACCTTGTAAATGGTGCATCAGCCTCATCTAAGAGGTGGCACTGGTAGTCAATTTCATTTTTATGGCTTAATTTAAGGGAGCACCTGCGTATGGATAATGGAAGACTATCAAGAGAAGAATCTTCACACCATTAATTGAGGAGAGATGAGGCTACCCTTTCTGGATGTGGGTGTGGTGTTATACTGCATGTATTGCCTTTAATCTTGCTGATTTCCTTCCATACATTACTCATGGGTGTCATGGAGTCAATTGATTTTGCTAAGGCATAAAGAATTTCCTCCCGTTTTCGTGTTATTATCTTATTGATCAATTGAATACTAAAAAAACACATGATCCCAAGCTAAGTACGATTTTTTTCCCAAAATGTCATAGCTGACTTACTGTAGATCGTACAAACCTCCTAAGAAGTTTTATCTCAGCGTCTTTGTTCAGTTATTGCTGCAGCTGGTGTTGAGGGTGGTGCAGAGATCGAAGCAGCATATGGTGTTAGGGCTGGTGCTGCAACTGGTGCTTGAGTTGACAGAGCTTGAACTCCTGCTTGTGCTGGTACTGTGGCCGGCGCCATGGCTTCCGTTGCAGGGGCCATCACTGTTGACCTCTGTAGGTGTGGGAATTCCCCCACATCATCGAAGCTCGGGGCTGGCGGGGACTTTTGTTTTTGTTTTTGTACTATTTTTCCTGTCCTTTGGATTGTAATCGCATAATGGAGAGTTTGCATTATGCTCTTGTCGGCAGTTCACGCATTTCCGAGGGACATTTTTTTCTTTCGGAAATCTTTTATGCACATTCTGAACTTCCGTGTGGAAGAGCGCAGTACCGGCATCGCGCTGCGTCTCGTGAACAAACACGCGTTCCGTGAACAATTTGAGCAAAACGGGGTCAAGGATTTGAAGACGGCACACCTAAAGGGTGCCATGCCCTCGACCATTTTGATACTTTTGGGGATTACCTCCTTCTCATAGGTTATGGTGACTCTCTGGGTCATCATTCCATTAATCTCCATGCGCCTCGTATGACTGATACATTAATTTGTATGCGGTCATTTCTTCTGTTTCGATTTCCCTTGAGACATCGAAAACAATGATGTTCGTGCATTTTCCTTTTCCAAATACCTTGGCTTTTTCAAGCACTTCATCACATAAACCGCTAGATGTTATATGAGCAAGAATTTGTTCGTTCTTGCATCTAACATAAACGTTGTTTCTCCGATTTTCATTGGAGAGAGAGAGAGAGAGAGAGAGAGAGAGAGAGAGAGAGAGAGAGAGAGAGAGAGAGAGAGAGAGAGAGAGAGAGAGAGAGAGAGAGAGAGAGCAAGAGAGAGAGAGGGGGAGAGAGGGAGAGAGAGAGAGAGAGAGAGAGAGAGAAAGAGAGAGAGAGAGAGAGAGAGAGAGAGAGAGAGAGAGAGAGAGAGAGAGAGCGAGAGAGAGAGCGAGAGAGAGAGAGAGAGAGAGAGAGAGAGAGAGAGAGAGAGAGAGAGAGAGAGAGAGAGAGAGAGAGAGAGAGAGGGGGGGGGGAGAGAGAGAGAGAGAGAGAGAGAGAGAGAGAGAGAGAGAGAGAGAGAGAGAGAGAGAGAGAGAGAGAGAGAGAGAGAGAGAGAGGGGGGGGGGGTGAGAGAGACAGAAGAGAGAGAGAGAATTATATATATATATATATATGTATATATATATATATATATATATATATATATATATATATATATATATATATATAGAGAGAGAGAGAGAGAGAGAGAGAGAGAGAGAGAGAGAGAGAGAGAGAGAGAGAGAGAAAGAGATAGATAGACAGATAGTGAGAGAGAGAGAGATAGATAGATAGATAGAGAGAGAGAGAGAGAGAGAGAGAGAGAGAGAGAGAGAGAGAGAGAGAGAGAGAGAGAGAGAGAGAGAGAGAGAGAGAGAGAGAGAGAGAGATTCCGTTTGATAAGGTAATCATTTTTTAAGAGATTGGAAGAACAAAGTGCCTCCATTGTTCCTGTTGATGTCTGTTATCTCATTTCCTTTACTTGAATCGCTATTACCGCCACGAAGAGAGAATGCTTTGAGTTAAGATGTGGATATGATTTTTTTTTTTTTTTTTATATATCTATCTATACATTGTTTAATATATTCACAAAATCACTTTGCTTCTGGATAGATATTACAGAGTGTTTATGAAGTGCTGAAACTGACACTGCAATCAATATTCGTTTTCTTTCTAAAATAACAAGTATGGAAATGCAAAAACGTATTGACAATGATACATATTTTTACTATAGTTACCCATACATATATATCAAAGAAAACAAACGGTGTGTGTTCAGTTCAAAGAAAACGAATCCTCCCCACCCACGCATCGTTTTCTTTATATCTATCTTTTGTAAAAGCTGGGCGAGGGTGTTATTTTTGGATGACGAAATCACAATTGATAATCTCTAGCCCCAGATTATCAGCAGCAAAAGGCGAAAAGAAATGGAACAAAATTTCTAGTTGCTATCAGTCCCTTGCCTCCCCCTCCCCGCGTTCCATCACTATTTCACCTAACCAAATTTCTCCCTAAAGTATCACAAATACCTCATAAAAAATCCCTAAATATAACCCTACACCCAAAATAAATAACCATCTTCAAAACGAATCAACCCATTACATAGAAAAACAAGACACCCCAACCTTTTACAAGACCTCGCATGTACCCGAGAGAGATCGCGAACGAAAACAAGAAGGGGAAGACGAGATCGAGAAAAATTTCCCCCAAAACTTGAGAAAAATTCCCCCCAAAAAATTGCAACCGCGGCCGAACCTCTCACGGAAATGGGCGGCACAGAGGTCCTGGAGGGCGAGATGGGCGCCGCCGAGTAGGATGCGGCCTCGTGCAAGATGTCTCGCGTAGGGGGAGGGGCCAGGAACAAGCCCAGGACGCTGCAGGACGTGTGTGCGGACTGCGGGGCGGCAGGTGAGGAGAGGAGCCGAGGAGGAGGCGAGGCAGAGGAGGAGGAGAGGGCGAAGGGCGAGAGGGAGAGGAGGAGAGGCGGAGAGGGAGAGGAGGCCAGGAGGAGAGGAGGAGAGGGGGAGGGAGAGGAGAAGGGAGAGGAGGCCAGGAGGAGAGGGAGAGGGAGAGGAGGAAGAGGAGAGGCAGAGGGCGAGAGGAGGAGGAAGAGGGCGAGAGGGGGAGGGGGATGAGGGCGAAGGGAGAGAGGGAGAGGAGGTCGGCGGAGGGGGAGGGCAAGGGAGAGGAAAACGATAAGGGAGAGACTGAGGGGGAGGGGGAGGTCCTCGTCACTAGGACTCCGTCAGGTTTTCGTCAGGAGGACCTCTGTTTTTTTTGTTTTTTTTCACATGGGGGTTCTCGTTCTCTTTTCCGCTTTCTGTCATAATTGTCGTAGGGTCGTCCTCGTTGTGAGGTCGCCCGATCTTGAGATCATCTGTGCGGACCTTGTCACAAGTTTAGTCAGCCTGACATCTTCGTCAGGAAATTATTGGTTTTGTTTATGATAAATTACTCTGTGATAAAGTCATTATTGTTGAGGTATTCAGTTTATGTCTTTTTCATTCGTTGATTTTTAAAAGGAAGTATTTTGCTCATCAAGCCTATCTAAGAACCCAGTACGAAAGGGCAGCATTTCAGCTGCAGAATTAGACCCCAAAGAAGTATTTAGTCAAGGCCAGTGCTTTATGCTAATTAATGTCAATGGGAGAATTGCTCACCATTAGGCCTATAAACTCTCTTAGTGAGAAAAAAGTGGTACATGCTCTTGTTTGAATCTATGTATATTTGGATATATTTTGTAGTTGAATTTTTATCACCTTTATGTGGTATGCCTGAAAAAGGTCAGTAAATGATATATTAGCTAATGAGAATGAAGAGAAGTTAGCTAGGTATATTTTAAGTATAAAGCATACACGTAGAAGTCCATTCATGGTGAAGTGTTTCCACCAGACAGCGACGTGGAGAGAGTGTATGAGAAACTTCTTGTGTCAAAAAAGAAAAGAAGAGAAAAAAAAGAGAGAGAGAGAGAGAGAGAGAGAGAGAGAGAGAGAGAGAGAGAGAGAGAGAGAGAGAGAGAGAGAGAGAGAGATTTAATCTCTTTAACAAACCCTTCCCTTTGGTGCTTTGGCAAAGCCCAGTACCCATATTCTGAGCTTATTAATCTCCCTGTCAATTTGAAATCCACTTTGGAGCCAGGCCAGGCTCCTCCTTGCCAAAACCTACTTGGTGGGGTTTTTGTTGGCCTTTGCCAGAGGCACGTAGGCTGCAGTGGTCACTTGACACTGTCACTTTTGGGTGGGATTCAAGGCTATTAGGCTTCCATCATAGATCACTCAAGTAGGTTGAGTTAGAACAAGCCAACATTATTATAAGATAAATTTTATACACATATTGAAAGCTGTCAGGAAGTTGTCAGTGTGATTTACCAAAAAAGTGTTTTAAAAATTTTATGGAAAGGAAATAACCCATAAAAATTTTGAAATTGGATGATTCAAGATACTTTGCATGATATAAAATAATGATTTTTATTTGAATGTAGTTATGTTAAAAGTTTGATTGTAATAGTAATAGTTGTCAGATTGTTGTTAATATGGTTAATATTAAAATCACCATTGTTGTCATGTCTTAATATTTTATCATTCATGAATGCAGAGCCAGGCTGGGCATCAATCAACCGTGGGATTCTCATATGTGACGAGTGTTGCAGCGTCCACAGGTCATTAGGCAGGCACATCTCTCAGGTCAAGTCGCTTAAGAAAGGAACATGGAATCCTGTACAACATGCAGTAGGTTGATTTCTGTGTTTTTGTTACATTGTGTGAGATACTGTAATGTTAGTTCCCCAAAATGGTATTTGTGTTTGTAAATGGTACAGGTTTTGTTATAGACAGAAATAGATTTTAACTGATAAAGAATATGTTATCTACATTTTGATGTTATCCCTGGCCAAAATTAGAGTGTATATTAAATGATACATCAAGAAATAATTTATTTCTCTGTCAGTTCCTTTCATTTTTGAAATTCTAAAGTTCATATCTAATATTTCAGCTGGTGCACACACTGTACAGCAGTGGTGCAAACAATATCTGGGAACATACGCTCCTGGACCCCAGCGTCGCCAAAACTGGCAGACGCAAACCACACCCCAAGGATCCAGTCCAGTAAGCAATACAATTTGTGTGTTTTGTAGGAGTCATGCTT